AACAAAGCAACAGAAAAGAAAAAGTAGCAGCAGGAATAGAGCTGTGGGGAAACAGATAAGCAACTTAACACCTTCCCCAGCCCTTGTCGACCCAGGTAGCACTGCTCCTTCAGTTTTATTTCCATTCTTGCTTCATATCTAACCAGCCGGCCGTGCAAGGACCAATGTCACACCTCTGCCCAGCTACACCTGGAGCCGGCTGAAGGAAGGAAACCTTCGTCAGGGCCTCAAATAGGCAAGCCGCATACACAGCTTCAAAGTTTTAAAATCCTCAAAAGCATAAGCCTCTTTTCCTTGTCCTTTGTGTCTCTGCACATTACTTCCAACAATGCAGTGCTCACACCCATTGCAAGCGTTAGTATCTGACTGAAGGCGTTTTATAGGTTTGGCTAGGCAGTTATGGTAAGGAATGGTTTGGCAGACTCCAGTTTGTATGTACTGATGTGTTTGTATTTTTTTGCCAGTCTATGAAAACCCATTTTTAGCTGGGCATGGGAGGTGCATGCCTGTAATTCCAGCATGGTGGGAGGCTGAGGCAGTAGAATTGCAAGTCTGAGCCCAGCCCAGGAAACTTCCCGACTTAGTGAGATCCTGTCTCAAAGTTAAAAATAATAATAAAAAAATTTGGCATGTAGCACAGTATGAAGGTTCTGCCTTCAATGCCCAGTACTGTAAAAAAAAAAAAAAAAAGTCTTATTTTTCATGAGGTGATTTACAACCCTCCACATATTTCTAAGAGTGAAATCTGAATGTCAGTAAACTTTTACTGTGACAGTTTCATTACATTCTTAGACTCTTCCAAGAAAGAAATTCTTGAGGGGCTACAAATACCAATATTAAGCCAAATTCTCATTCTATAGAAGCACAAGAATTATCAGGTCATGATTATCCAGTGTCTTAATGTGTTGGTTCTGGGGCATGGGGAAATACTGAAAGTGTTCCTTCTATGGACCACTTTGGGACTTTGGCCACATTCTGTGGAACTCCATGGAATCTTACCATAATTTCACAAAGAAAGACCCACATAGTTCTTATACTCAAAAGTAGAAATCTAGCATATATTTTTAAAATTTCATAGATCTTAAGAATATAGTTGCTAAGTTAAATCAAATGTAAACATTGAGAAACCTACACACTAAAAAATGAAGATACAGAACACTGTTATAAAGCATTGTTGACAACTTGAAAGTTTCTTCCTTTCCACTACAGCCCCTCCTAGCAGGCAACCACTATATATCTATCTCTGTAGATTAGTTTTGCCTATTCTTTTTCATTTGTTTGTTTTTTGAGGTAAGGCCTCACTAAAGTAGTCCAGGCTAACCTTGAACTTGTGGTCCTCCTGCCTCAGCCTTCTGAGTGCAGGGATTTCAGGTATGCACTACCAAGTGCAGCTAGTTTTGCTATTCTTAAACTTCACATGAATGGAATTATACAGTATGTTCTCTTTTGTGGCATAATTCTTTCATGCAATTTAAGAGTTTTGGAATTCAGACAGATTTTTGAAAGTATTAGTAGTAGCTTCTTTTTTTTTTTTTTTTGGTACTGGGGATTGAACTCTGGTCCTTGCGCTTGGTGTAGCTCCTTTTTTAAACTGCTGAACAGTATTCCATTATATGAGTGAACCAAAATGTAAACAGTTTGTCCATTATTAAAAAAGAGGCTGCTGGTTGGGTCCATGATAATGCTTTAGTAGAACAAAATGTAGTAATTCCTCTTCATTCCAATCTGCCACCCACAACTTTGACCTTTGCTAATGGCTGGACATAGAGTTAAGTCTGAGTTTTAACCCTTCTGTCCTCAAAAGGATCTAAACAAAGCTTGGGAACAACAGGAATCACTTGAGTCTAGGCCAAAAAAATCAGCAAGAGATATGGTGTATTAGGAGATATATCTTCAACAAGAGCCAAAATTCCTCTGCATCTTGGTGCTCGTCAAAGGTTGTGAAGAGACTGAATTCATTACAAGTCTACCCTCTACTTTTATTTTCTTCTTATCTCTTCTAGCTCTTCTGATCATTGGTTAGAAATCCTTTGCAAGCATGGTGCACTTGTAATATCACCACATGGGAGGCTAAGGCAGGCGGATTGCCATGAGTATGATGCCAGCCTAGAGCCCACAGTGAATTCAAGGCCAGCCTGAATTAAATAGTGAGATCCTATCTCAAACAAAAAAAACATAATAAAATCCTTGCTTTCTGTAGACAATGTGAATGCTTTTAGTTATTCAAGTAAACTTTGCTAGTACTCTGAAAAGATGTCACCAGGCCCAATTAGTATGGCAGTGAAGGTAAACGTATAAATAAAAGAGTATTTTGAGTCTCTTTCTTTGGATCATGTAAAACACATCAAAAAATCAGGAAGGAAGATTGGAGGAAATGATGTAATTTATTATGATTTCTCCTCATCAAGAGCTCACTGTGTTCACAGGGAAGAATACTGTTAATAGGTCCTACAAAGTTTCCTTTAGTTAATTGTAGTTACTCCTCCCATGGTGTTTGCAACCTAGTTAGAGAAAACACAAAGCTAATCTGGAAATAAATAAGATCAAATCTAGTTAGATCCAATTAGTTAGGTGCCCACAGGAAACTCAATTCCAGATGAGAAGCATGGAATGAGCTACTTTTAAAAAAGATAACTGAACATTATACAGACATTACAAACATGCATTACAAATAGTGTGATGAGTAACAGTTCTTACAGATTAATTTTTAAGCCAGGAACTACTTAGAAGGCCAAATCTTTGACAGTTTTGTATGTAGAATATTTGCAAGTGGGACACTCCAGTACTATCCCCTGCTTCTCATTTAAAAATGGGATTCAAAAACTACTGAGAATTATTTGAATTTCAAATCCTCTCTGTAGGATTTCCCCAGTGCAGCCCAATGTTACCATAAGTTATCCCTTCAGAGCAGTAGCTCCCAGAGTTCCAATTGTAACTGGCTAGAAAAAGTGACAGAGCTCAGTGACATAGGAAATGTACACATGAACATGCAAAAGCAAACATACAAAAGCATACAAAAACTACAATCTAGTTCGAAAGCACAAGGATATTCATTGGACATAACTTTAACACAGGCAATCTCCATCCCAGAATGTGTTGTAACTCAAAAAGAACTAAAATTAAGATCTTTATACCAGAATTTTTACATTGCAGAAAAAAGTAGAGGTGCCATAAATAACTTGTATTGATGTTATTAAATAGAACCCAGTAACTAATGGCATGAACTCAAAACTACCACTGTAATCGTCTGAATTTGTAATATTGCTAGATCGACGTTTGTTAAAGAACCAAAGTTTTCTCCATATAAGGAGACTAGGAAGCAAGAACAATAGTTTTTCTTATATAAGATTTTGATTTGAATGCTCTGCAAAATTGTCATCAAACTTAATGTTGTTACGGATAAAGTATCATGTGATGTCATTTTGTAGCTGTTCTAACATTTTGAGCCAATTGAACTTTTTATATTAATGTAAAGTATTGCCATATCTCCCTCACTTCACTTAAATAATACTATATTTTGTAAAGTTTTATATGTATATATTTTAATATAAACATAAAGTGATAGATATTTTTCTCAATCCTTCATAGAATATACTCACTTAAAACCAGATACTCATGTTAGGATAAAACCAAGGATTCTTTCATCTTAGTTTTTGCTTCTTGCCACACATCTGCCCAGGAGAAGCAAGTTCCTGACTGTCCACCTTTCTTGGATATTCGCTGACTGGAATTTCCAGGGAGAAAGCACACATAGTCATTGGATGATGCCCTCTCAGGTGGGTGAGCCTCCCACTTCCCAGCACAGCCAGCTCCCCTACCCCATCTTCCTCCATGTCATGAGTCAACATTGTGTTAAGTTAAGAGTACAAACATCTTATCATGCACTGAAACAAAATGGACACTTTTCCATTATGCTCCACTCTGTAATGAAAGTTCTAGGAAGTGAGTGTAACATGAAATCATTCCTTCCGCCTCAGCAGACAGATGGATAGAGACATTCCAGTTTGTTTCCAGCCTTTTGTCTTTGGAGCATTTTTGGCATTTCCTTCAGGAAACTGAAGGTTGTGACCTAAGGTTTCCTTAGTGACTACATTTCTGTTTCCCACAGTTAACTGTACCCAGAAATGACATCTACCCTATTAGGTGAGGTTTATCTCCATGTCCCAACTGTGTCCTGTGCATATTCAATGACACTTGAAAGCACAAATCCTGAAAATAACAATAAGGCTGGAGACCCAGACACATCAAAATACTTTGATTTAATCCCCCATAAAGATGATAATTAATACCAAAACCAGAGTTAACTATTACTATAATTCCGTGACACTTACAAAGTACCTTTGTTTTCATTTCATAGTTGGAGAAATTAATAACCAAGAATGCTAATGCTTTCAAATACAATCAATAGTTTTCAAATAAATGGTCCTACTGAGCCTACATCCTATAGTTTGATACTTCATGTATATCATATATTCCTATACTCAGAAGACAGAGTGGAGAAACCAAAACAGTACCCTAAAAAATGTAAATGATTTAATATTATCTCACACCTGTAGTCCCACTCATCCAGCATGTTGGTGGGAGGCCGTGAATGTACACTTCTTATTCGTGTGTTTGAATTGATCACTGTGTATCATAGTTTAAATGAGACTTACTACCATTGTTAATTCTTTAAAAAAATCCGTGTTTTAGAAGAGATATTATACTTACTTTGGCTTGACTCAAGTGCAATTTAAAAATTATATTTACTTGCCAATGTGGTATTCAGAAGGTTAGTGGTTTTTATCTCATTCATTTTCACTCTTCAACGTTAACTTATTGAAGTTTCTCTTCCTGAAAAAGACCAGTTTCTAAACAAACCACAATTTTTTTCATACCCTACTTTATCAAGGTGAAATCCTTCAAAGAATAACAGAAATCTGTCCTTTACTTTGATTCCAAAGAACCACAGTCAGAGAAAATCTCAATTGTGACTTTTAAAAATGCTCTTCACAAAGGGATCTTTAAAAAAATCAGTTTATTAATGTTTAAAAGTTGATAAAGCTATGTGCAAAATGATCCACAAAAGTCAGAAACCTATTAAATACTATTTTTTTAAAAAAAAACAAGACATTTCTTGGTTTAATTGCACTGAAAACCATACTAAAAAGACAGTAACATTTTTATTCTTTGTAACATTTATACACACCTTCAATTACTATCTAATGAACATCTGTACTGAAGAAATTCCATTGTTCCCTATCAGTTAAAGTAATGCTTTTAAGGGCACAAGAGACTGGTATTTTCTTATGAAACACACATTCAGTGCTGTTAACACAAGTTAGAAAAACTCTAATAAAATGACCTTTGCTGAAACAAATACATTCAAAAATCATAGAAAGTACTTTTAACAACCAAATACAACCATCCAGTTGGTTGAAACAAATTACACAACACTCTGAAATAAACATCAACCAAAGTGCCAAAGACAGATATTGTATTTGTTAGACAATCATGAAGAATTCTCTCTTGGTTTACAAAAGTTTACTCCCAGTCAGTTTTCCCCTTCTTTTGTTTGTTTCTCCTATAACACTAAAGGTCCTGGCTGATACCATTTAGATAAAGTGGACTTCCTTAGGCCGATTACAGCCACAATTGATATGACACTATAACATGTTTCACTGTAAAGATGTTTAAAAAAAAAAATCAAAGTGACTTCAAGCAAATTCCAAAAAAACGAATCCAGCTTACGTGGAAACTTTGGCCTCAGCAAATGAAACTGCTTTCCCTCTCCATGTCTTCACAGCCTACCTACTCAACATAACCTGCCTGCTGCAGATGACCAAGAACAGCATGCCACAATCTCGGCTCTGATGAATGCCAGGTAGTTACAATATAAAGTAAAAGAATCTTGAGATGGGGCTGAAGGGGAAGGGAGGGTGGGAGAAGCAGAGCATCCCTCAGCAAGCAGAAGTGCACACACTCACGTGGGTTTGAAACTGAAGTGAAAGAAAACATCTTTTCCTCTAAGCTCCAGACAGAAAGCCTTTCTCCTGGGGATCTTACTCTTGGAGGAGGGGCCAAACGAACCCTCTGGGAGCTTGACAATGCTAGACCTTTGGCTCAGTGCAAAATCAAAGCTCCAAAGGGAGAGGAAATAGGCTCCAGGCGGGGACCTGATCTCCACCCTTCCCAGTGCATTGTTCACAGGAACTAACTCTACCCACCAACTGCAGCACCACCAGGTTGTTTGAGTTCTCCCCCTCCTTCCTCCCTCTCTCTGGCCCCCTGCAGCTCCTCCCTGGCCCCACTCGAGGCCCAGAGACTTATTTCAAATGCTGGGGTGGTGGGTGACCATGTAAGAGCACTTCCCGAAGATTGGCAGCTTCCAGTTTTAGGAAGAAGAGTTGACATTTCCAGAAGACATAATAGTCTCTGGGTTGTCCCCATCGTCCTTCTGGGGGTGGGAGGAGTTGTCTGATTTGCTGCGGCTGAATTCCATCCCTGCGATGATGGGTCGCTTGATTTTGCCAGTGGAGTCTGCATTGGGACATTTACAGCAGGACATGATCCGGATGAAGGCCCGACGCATCTCCTTGTTGGTCAGAGTGTAAATGATAGGGTTGGTGCCAGAGTTGAGCACAGCCAACACCAGGAAGTACTCGGCTTTGTAGAGGATGTCGCAGGTCTTCACCTTGCAGCCCACATCCAGCAGGAGCAGGATGAAGAGGGGTGCCCAACACGCGATGAAGACGCTCAGGACGATGATCACCGTCTTCAGCAATGCCAGCGACTTCTCAGAGCTGCGGCTGGCCTTAGAAATGTTCTTGCGGAAGGTGAGCCGGCGGCTCCGAGTCCTGACCAAGGAGTAGATCCTGCAGTATAGGATGACGATGGCGAGCAAGAGCAGAGTGAAGACCGTGGTGCAGAAGAGGATATAGTGCTTGTGGTAGAGGGGCAGCACGGTGGAACAGCTGGACAGTGAGCTGATGCAGTTCCAGCCCATGATGGGCAGGCCACCCAGAATAAGCGAGATGACCCAGCAGGCGCTGATGAGCAGGAAGGAGCGGGAGCTGTTGCTCCCATTGTGGAGTTTCATCTTCAGCATGGTGATATAGCGCTCAATGGCGATGGCCAGGAGGCTGAACACCGACGCAGACAGGGCCACAAACATACTTCCTTCCCGCAGAAACCACTGAGCAGGGGTGAGCTTGTAGGTGGTGGCCCCAGACAACAGCAGGTTGGCTGTATAGGCCACACCTGCCAATAGGTCTGAGAGAGCCAGGTTGCCTATAAAATAGTACATGGGTCGGTGGAACTTCTTGGTTTTCCAAATGGTCAGCAAGACAAAGATGTTCTCCAGGATGATGAAGCAGCAGATGAGAATGAACACCACCGTGGTCAGTTTAATGCCGTTCTCTTTGTCAGGGCTGATATTCAGCTTTCCCGTGTAGTTGTAATGCCGGACTATGATATCATAGTTGACGTAGTCAGAGACCAGACTGCGGACAGCCTTCACCTGCGGGAGGCTAGTGGACCCCATCATGCAGGGCTGTGTCCCCCAGGAGCCTGGAGGAGGCCACTTCTCCAGACGAACGCTAGAGGGCAAGGCCCACACCGGCCTTCACTCCTTCACTGGAAGGGGAAACGGTTCAGTCAAAGATCCAGGCTTTTTGTGTGACTTTTCCTTGGCTGGAGAGGGCCTCAGAAATGGCAACCCTTAAATCACAAAGAGGAGAGAGTTAGAGAAAAAGCCACAGCACACAGGCATGATTCATTATAGCTAAGACATTGCTCCAATTTTGCCTTTGTTGATAATGTTTTAAGGAGACTCAGGGAGAGCACAAGGAGAATTTTAAAATATCAAATCATTTCTAGAAAAGGAGAGAGAAAAACCAAAATAATTATCCAGACTAAATTCCAACTGGATGAGAGAATAACTCTCCCTGAGGTCACAACCACTTTAATGGAAACAGGAAACCTAGAAAAGTGTTCCCTACCAACTGCATTTTTTCCCCCTTCCCCTTTTCCCCTGCTCTCCCCTCCTCCCTGACTTCCAGACTCTGTGGAACTGTCTGAAGTGGCCCTCAACTCAGCTGTGCTCAGCACCATCCCTAGGTCTCTCTACTCTAAGGCCCAACTGCAAAATCTGAGGGCTGGGACGCACATCTCTGTCTACCAGCTCCACTCCACTCCTCCGCTCAAAGACAGAGCACCACCTCCTAATTGCCATGCAAGAAAATAGGTTTGCACGAAAATCATTTGACAGCGTAATTTTCTGGGCTCTATTAATAACTCTCTAGGAGCAGGTGTGCTGGGGGGTCCGAGGGCGCAGCGAGGTGTGGGCCCCCAGGCGCGCCCCAGCCTCGCGGTAAACAGGAAAGCTCAGTGCCTCGCCTCCGTGAAGCAACTGCCTATTCTTTCTTCTTCTTTTTTTTTTCCTGCAAGCTCAGTGCAACTATATTTAAAGGTATTCAGTGAAAATCATTCATAAGAGATAGCTGCAAATCCCAGAAGTTTCATACATTAAATGAATGCATAAGTGTTTTTAGTTTAGCACACACACACACACAAAAGAAAAGTTATATTACAAATGATAACCACATATGTCCCCGCACGGCTAACTTCAAGGGCAGAGCTACTCTGCAGAAACACACACGAACAATGTTTGGTGTTTGCTAAACTTGCCTGGACAGCTTTATTTACTGCAGTTCCCCTAACACGTTGCCGTCTCTCCCAGAACTGAAAAATGGGAAAGGAACAACACAGCACTAGACATCGAAAGAGAACTTTTAAATTGTTTGAATGTTTCAATGTGTGGTTAAAAAAAAAGAAAAGAAAAAACGAACAGAGAAGCAGAGGACTCCCAACAATCTCCCGAACAGCGGCGGCTGCCGGCTCGGCTCCCAGCAGCCGCTCCGCAGTTCCCTTCTCCTAATTCTACACCCTGTCCTCGGGCAATGCGAGTTTAAGCGAGTCCCCGGTCCCTGTGCTCTTTGTCTATAGGATTTCCAAAAATAAGCGTCTGTCGAAAGGCAGCTTCCACTCCCTCCCCTAGCCAGTCGTCTCCACTATCGCGGATGAGCCCGTTTCCAAACTCCATAAATAACCACTGCCCCAAGAACAAGCCGAGTTGGGGTCGGTAGAAGCCCAGATCTCCGTATTTTTCAGTTCCCAGAGTTGGACGTTTTCAAAGTTTTTGTTTGTTCCGGTTCAAAACTTCGTTTCTGACACCTAGGCCCTCCTCAGAGGCTTCCCGGGCTCCCAGCCGGTGCCGCCCCGCGCCCCGCGCCTACCTCGCTCAGGCAGGACGAAGCTGCGCTCGGGGAGCTCCGGGTCCGCGCCGCGCGCTCCGCATCTTGCTGCTGCCCCCAACAGACTGCGTCGCGCCTTGGCAAAGTTATTCGAGTCGGGGTCCCCTCCCTCCACAGCCGCGAACTCCAATGGCCAGCCCTGCTCGCTTCTGCCCGCGCGTGTCTGCGAGGCAAAGCCACAGAGTGCGGCGCCGAGGCAGGGTGGCTGACTTAGGAAGAGGCTGGGAGGGGTTAATGATTTGAGCTTTCACGCCCTCTGCCAGCCCTTGGGGCCCGCGGGTCTGCGCTGCCGAGACGCAGGGTCCAGGAAAGATGTGGGGCAGTAGCAAACAAAATACCACAGAAAGAAAGCGAACCCCTCCTCCACAGCCGGCAAGTGAGGGGGCGGGGAGGGGTGGAGCCTGGTGACCCCTAAATTCTACTGCATGAAGCACGTTCCTCGCCAGCTCGCCGCGGCTCCCGGGAGATGGAGAAGGTCCCCCGCCGAAGACGGGAGGTGGGGCGCTTCTGAAAACTTTTCTCCAAAAAGTCTTAGGGGCAGCAAACGACACGGCGTCTAGTGGCGCACCTCCCCGGTCCCCACCCTGCAGCCCTGGCGGATCCGAGCGTCCCCAGCTAGCGGCCCCGCGCCAACGGGGACCCGGGAGCCGCTGCCCGGCCAGTGCACCGCGCTCTGGGATGGAGAGGCTGAGAAGGGACGGCGAGAGGTTTGGAGGAGGCCAGCCGTCAGAAAGGGAGAATGGGCAGAACTGGGACTCTCCCCCTCACCCTCCATTCCTGATCCCGGCGAAGCCCTGCAATTTTCGAGCAGAGGAGTGCAAAGTGGCCTTTTCTGGCTCACGATGAACTGGGCCAGCGCTGGACTTGGTACTGGGCAGGGATTCCACTCATTCAAAGGGCCACAGCGTCAGGCAGTGTGACCCAGATTCTGGCCAGTGCTGAGGCCTTTGAGGAGGTGGGCTCCCGCTGGCTGGAAAAGCTTGGGCGGTGCAGGAATTTTGCAAGTGGAAGAGGCCAGTGGCTCAGCACAGCCCCCCCCCCCCCCCGCCTGCAGCCGCCCACCTAAGACCTAAGGGTGGGCGCCTTTCTCTGTCTACTTAAGAGGTGATTTAGAGGGCCTCAAATTTCAGTATTCCCATCTCACCCACCCTTTTCTTTTGTTTAGATACTGCCAAACGTGCACCTTCATTGGATTTGCCTGTGTGGCAAGCTCAGGACTCCTGCCCTGCCCTTCTCTACTGTTACAAAGAAGTTTCCGCCCAGTCCCTGGTCGCACTACCTTCCTATCCAGGCAGATGTGAATTCAAAACTTCCTCTGCTGTGCAGACACACCCTGTACCTGAATGACTCAGAAGGAGGCTGAATGAATAAACAACAGACCCCTAGTTTCTGGGGTTTTATGAGTTAGCAAAAAAAAAAAAAAAAAAAAAGTGACAGCTAATTCATAGCTGCCTTGAAGATCACATCAACAACATTGCAGGTAACACACCCGCAAAGCAACAGTGCTTGCATAGGACAGTCCACCTATACAATGTGGAATAAGTAATGGTCCTCCAGACTCCAGAATAGATGGACTGGGTTTGAGGAATTATTTCAGATGAAAAGGGAGGTAGCAGCTAGGTGTGATGACACAGGCCTGTGAATCCCAGCACTCAGGAGGCTGAGGCAGGAGTATCATGAGCTAAGGCAGGCCTGTGTTACCTAGGGAGACCATGTCTCTGGGAGGGAGAGAGAAAGGGATATAGAGAAGGAGAAAGAAAAGATAATGCTATGTCCATCCAGCACAGCCAAAGCCAACAATTAGTGACCTCCCTCTCCCATACACTAATTCATGAGTTGTTTTTTTTAAGGGAAAATAATTACAGTGAAATATGCACCTGTACTTTATTGAGCCTGTGTTGGACTAATTTAACACTACTGTTCTGTGGAAAGGACAGGCAAGCACTGTCGGTCATTTATTGGTGAGTGAAATGCCACTCAGTGAGTAGCAGACCTGGGTTCCAAACCTTAAGTACTGCAGATCCCTTGTCTCCTGCTTCAAATGCCATTCATCAATAGTTAAGAATTGAAATGTATGTTCCTGAAGAAAAGTAGATGACTAGATTTCAAGTTCTAAACTTGTACTCATTTCTGACTATACATGTCTACAAAACATATACAAAAGTATGCTAGTGAATGCCTTTAAAAAACTACTCTGCATCTATGTATAGTGTATTCATATGTATCTTAGCATAAAATGTTTATTTTATTGCCTGCCTTTGAGATCTAATGTAAAGTTGTACTTTTATTATTTGTGTACCAGGTTCCAAGTGTTACACTTATCAACTCACTCAGTCCTTATAGCTAAATCACTGCAAGTTATGTACTAGTATTACCCTAATTTTACAAGCAAAGAAACTGAGTCTGCGACATATTAAGCAAGTTGGTTAATGTGGGATGTGACCATAGACAGGCTGAAGACTCTTAACCACTACTTCAAACCACCAAAATAAACCTCAGACATATCAGAAAATTACGTGGGGGAAATCAGTCCCTTCTGCTGTGAACACCACTGACGAGAACAACATTCCATGCTCACCCAATGTTTTAAAGAGAACAATTACTTTAGAGATGATTATTTAGTAATGTGTATCTTTTGTACACAAAGATATGAGAATGAACATATATACATATATACATGTATGTATGTGTGTGTGTGTGTGTATATGTGATGACCACTGGGGCAAAGGTGGAAAGCAGGTAAAGCTGTCCCCAGCAGTTTCAGTCTCTGGTCCCCACATGCCCCTTCCCATTGCTTTCAAGAGAGCCCCTCAGAATTGTACTCTCAAGTTATCTTCTGGCTGCTTGCCCAATTGTTTTTTCCACCACTGCCTGGAAGCCCAACCTAATGTTCCTATCTTATTTCTTATCACACTAAGGTTGTATCATTCGTTTTGTTTTGTTTCACAGTACTGGAGATTGAACCCAGGTCCTTTGCACTGAGCTATATCCCCAGCCATTTTAGGGTTTGAGAAAAAACATCCCTAAAAAGCTAAGTTGCCCAGGCTGCATTCAGGTCACGATTTTCCTGCCTCTGCCTCCCAGAGTGCTGGGATTACAGGCATCAGCCACCACATTTGGCTAGCTTCGCTATTCTTTATGTGTATTTTATCCATCCTTGAGAGTTGCCAGATAAAATACCATGTAATTTGGGGGGCAGATCAAAAAAATGGTTAATCTGCAATTCAAATGTGACTGGGTAAACTTCTGATTTGCTAAATCTGGCAAATAAATTGCTCTCATCACTTTCCAGCACTCTCTCCCCCTCCTGCCAGTCCTCAGTAAAGACCCACCCCTTCCCTTCCTCATTTTTTTCACAGGAAAACAGAGTGTGAGTGCCCCAACTCCCCACTTTCGTGACGATCTCACCCGCCCTTCTCTCCTTCCCATGTTTCAGAAGCAAAATCTTTATACAAATTCCTGCCCGTATTGCATGCTGCTTCTTCCAAACTTCCTGCGACTCAGAGCAACATGTCAAGATCTTGTCTTGAAGTAAAATAAAGGGCCCAGGATGTATGTAGCTCAGCTCTACCCTGCTTGCTTGCCTAGCACGGGTGAGGCCCTGGGTTTAATTTTTTTAACTTTTTATTTTTATTACTATATGTTCGTAGTACATAATCATTATATCATTGTGGGGAGTCGGTACATGTACATAACATATCTTAACTCTTTTTACTTCCCCTTCTCCTCTCCTCCATTCTGTTTCCCTCCTTGGGTTCAATTCCCAGTACCCCCAAAAAACCAAACCAAACCAAACCAAACCAAAACCTATGTGGTGAAATACCCATGATTGAGCCTTGGGACAATACAGACTTAGAGCAGCTTTAGTATGGCCAGTTCCTAGATCTATCTTTGGGCAATTTCTAATTCTAAAACTTTGCATGTCTAGTTCCCCTCTCTCTCTCTCTCTCTCTCTCTCTCTCTCTCCCTCTCTCCCTCCCTCCATCAAGTGTTTTTAGAATCTGCTCTTTCTCCTTAGTGTTCCAGAATGGTATAATGATATACTTTGATTTTCCAAGTGCTTTGCAATTCTGAAAATTATCTGCAATTATTTTTTTATTAGTTTCATTGACTTTTTGTTTTGTTTTGATTTTTTGAGACAGGATCTCACCATGTAGCTCAGCCTAGCCTAGAGCTCACTAGGTAGCCCAGACTGGTCTACAAATTGTGTACCTTCTGCCTCAGCTTCTCCCATGCTTGGATTTATAAGTATGGGCCGCCACACTTGGATAGTTTCTTATATTTTAATTTCTATTTTCTTCATTGTTGTTGTTGTTGTTCTAGTGTCTGGGAAATTTCTTATTTCTTGATCTTTCTTTTTTATTTTTTTTCTTGGCAGTACTGGAGATTGAACTTAGGACATTCATGCTGAGCTACATCCTTGGCCCTTTTTCCATTTTTTATTTTGGGACAGTCTCACTAAGTCACTAAATTGCCCAAACAGAGCTTGAATTTATAATCCTCCTGCCCCAGTTTCCCAGAGTTATGGTCTTCAAGCCTGTACCACCATACCAAATCTCCTTCCTTCTTTATTCATACTTTCTCATTGATAGAATACAGTTCCCAGGAATTTCCTGGTTAAAGGAATATTGGATGTATGCAAATGACTTATCCTGTGTTGACTCTTTATTCCTAGTTTGGTGATATAGAATTCTAGGCTGAAAGTTAGTTTCCTTCAGAATATGTAAAGCATTGCTCCATTGTCTTCCAACAGCCAGTTTCGATAAGCGCTATGATGCTGCTATGATTTCCTAGCCTTTGTGTGTAAGCTTTCTTCTCCTCACCTGCCCCACCTCTTAACACCGTCACTTTAGCCAGTCCTGGTGCCTCCGATCTGTAATCCCGGGACTCTGGGAGGCTGAGGCAGGAAGATCACAAGTTCAAGCCCAGCCTGGGCAATTTAGTGACTTAGCAAGACACTCTTTCAAAATAAAAAATAAATGAGTTGGGGATGTATCTCAATATGAAAGCCCTGAGTTCAATGCCCAGCACTGCAAAACAAAACAAAGCAAAACAAAATGAAACAAAATCACCTTGGGGTTTAATTCCAGCATAAGTACTTTGAATAAACACATGTATTTAAAGAATAGCAATGATGTAGACGTGATATGGAAGGAAAGGAGAGAGAGAGAGGAATGGCCACAATGACACACTCACTCCAGCCTCAGCTGTTCAAATCTCCTCAGATCCATGAGAGAAGCCCTTGAAATGCCCATGGCTCAACCTCTGACTGTATGTGTGTGTGTGTGTGATTTGGAGGGTGATCTTGACTTTATT